GTGGGCATCGCTCCCGACAGGAAATCTTTGTGCAATTTGAAAAGGAAAACTGTTGAAAGCTTCTGCAAATATGCTGTCAAATGGCTTGAGCAAGCTGCTAGGATGAAACCTCAAATGGTCGAAGCAGAAATGGTTGCGGTCTTTCTACAGGCCCAAGAGGCGGACTACTTCTAAAACATGATGTCCGCTATGGGTAAGCTGTTCGCTGAGGCTATCAAAATTAGGGAGATGGTAGAAAATGGTTTAAAAACGGGCTGAATCTTGAGTCATGCTGTCTTTAAGGTCACATCACATGCCGTTCAGAATGGTTCTGGGGGTTTGATGAACAGAAACTGGAGAGAAGAAGGAGCCATGATGGTTTCGAGCTCGAAGGGAGCTCGCAGGGTATTCAACGAATCATATATGCTTCCTAAGGTCCCACAACACTATTATCGTCATCAAGATGCTGCTTATGCTGTGGCACCGCCTCCCATGTGGTGATGAACATGCAACCTTACACGCGGCCACAATATTATACAAAAAATCGAGCTTCACCTCCCAGAAATGCCCATCCTTACCAAGCTCCGTATAATCCCCAACCAAATGTTCCCCAAACAATCCTCACCCAAGTGAGCACCTCAAAAGGAATCAATTCACCCTATTGGTGAATCGTATTCAAGCTTGTTCCAAAGGCTAATTAGGCTAGGTATGCTGCAGCCAGTGGCCCCGAACCGGCCGAACCCAGAGTCCCCCTCGCACCGAGCTGATGCTAGATGTAAATACCACTCTGGAGCAATGGGACACAGTACAGAGGACTGTTGGACCCTCAAGAGGGCAGTTTAAGACTTGATTGAAGCCGAAAGAATCATTCTTCAGGACGAGGAGGCTCCTGATATGACAAACATTCCCTTGCCTGCTCACAACAATGGGCCAGTAGTCGGAATGATTTGTGAAGATGAAGAATTTGATCCGGCACTGAAGGCCATTGCAGCCATCACCGAAACAGAAGAAAAGCCAAAAAACGGTCGCCAAACATGAAAGTTCCCTATCAGATGGGAGTCTCAATAGCCAGTCTTGCTATCCTTTCTGCGTCCGGATTATCTCAGGGTGTGATCCGAGTGTTTTACTTTATTGTCTTACTCTCCGTAAATCCTTCTATCTTTGAAATTCAGAAAAACAAATCAAAAAAAACAAAAAAAACAAATGAAATTAATATTTCATTGTCCAAGAATGTCTCTTTTCTTAATCTTGTCATTTTTCTTATTCTCTTTTCAGTTCTGTTAACTGCAGATTTTAATGTCATGACATGCTTGCGGACTTCATGCCTAGATCCTAAAACGCTGTCAAACTTTGAAATAATGAATCAAGAATCAGAATGCAATGAAGATAAGTTTAAGGAAATAAAACAAAGAATCAGAACAGCTAAAGGAAAATTGGCTCCAGATTGGAAAGGTCCATACATTGTAATGTGAGTACTGCCAAAAGAGCGCGTTGTACCTAGGAAACATCAGAGGTAATGTCCATGAAACTACTGTCAACGTGGGTGCAGTCAAAAGGTACTATGTTTGATCCTCTATATAACATTAATGTTCTCCGATTGGGATGAAGAGGCTTTCATTCTCGCTACCCAAACACCATTAACACTTTTGCCAGCCCTTTGAGCCAGTTACCTTCTTTGATTACCCTCTTTGAAAACTGAAAGTGTTATTAAACAAAAAGAACAAAAAAAAGAAAAAAAAAACACAAAGAAGACAAAAAGAAATTGAAATGAAAAAAAGGGAAAAGAAAAGGAAAAAACGAGAAAAGAAAAAAACAGAAGAAAAACAAAAGAAAATTAAAAAAAAGTTCCTTGAGTTACGTTCGACTTCATTCCGAAAGGATACGTCGGCAGCCTCTCTCTGGGGTTCAGTCACACCAAAGCAAAAATCCACATTCCCTGAAAGTTGAAACTGGGGCAGCAGTTATAATGTTTCGGCCATGGTTTCGCCTGTTCAACTCAAATCCTTTTTACCCAAAATCCTTTTCAAGTCATTCCGATTAATTGGCGAGAATTTTCAAGAATTGGAGGATACAACCGCTTGGAGCTGTCACAATCAAAAGGAAAGAAATAAAATGAGAGAGTCTTATCGGTGAAAACCCTCACGGGCACCGTAAGGCGATGATGGGTAGAGAAATTAAAAAATGAGAGAGTCTTGTTAGTGAAAACTCGCAAAGAGCACTATAAGGCGACAGTGAGAAGTGAAATAAGAGAGGTCAGCTGGTGAAAACCCGCGAAGGGCGCCACTGGTCGAAAAGAGGATCCTCACCGACATTAGCATCAACACAGTCTTGGGCAAGGTTTTTCAGTTTTGAGGCAAAAGTTTTGATGAATTTCTGAGAAGCGGACAGTTTACACAGATCAGGCATCCAGTCCAAAAGGCATGTCATGTTCATTGAAGTCCGCATGTACTCCAGATAAGTCCTTCTTTCCTTTCCCCGAAAAGGATACTTCTTGTCTAAATTCATTGTCCATTCCATTGTTTGTTTTTCCTTGAATCCTCTTCGGTCTAACTCTATCCCAAAACTAAGGCAAAGAAAGGATGGTAAGACTGAGTTACAGGGCTCTCATTTGATACAAACTAATATTCAAAAAAGGCACCCAACCTCGGCAAAGTCATCAAGTCGACCTCGACTGGCCACGATGGTCGATGCTTCGAACTCAAAACACTTGGAAGGAGAAAATTAATTGAAGTGCCTATAAGGGCAAATGAAGTTGAAAACGTTGAGTCCCACGTCGCTAACTGTCTCGGCAAGGTTTGAAAACCCAAGGTACCCTAAATGCTTTGAAATTAAAATTGGAAGAAAGAAGCCAAAAATGAAAGGCCTACGAAGGAGAAATAAAGTTAGAAAAGGTTAAGTCCCACGCGACTAGCCGTTGCGGCAAAATTTTGAGGAGCCAAAAGTTCCCCAATACTCCGAAGTAAAAAATAAAAAAAAAAAAAACAAGTCAAAAGTTAAAGGTCTACAAAGGCAAAATAATGTCAAAAAAGGTTGAGTCCCACGCGACCAACCATCATGGCAAAGTCTGGAAAAGCCAGAGGTTCTCCAGGCTCAGAAATGCAATTAGTATTCAGGAAACAACCAGTTGTAGTTGAAAGGGCCGAGATCAAGTGACTGAAACATTCAAGGCTACAAAACCAACCACTGTTTCAAACTAACGAATTGTTCTGTGTTTAAAAAAAAAGGAAACAGGTGCAATCCAAAGCAACCTTGCTAAAAGAAGGTGCAACCAAAAATAAACCACGCAGAGACTAAAATAGCTCTGCAGCAACAACAACTCCAAAAAGGTAAGTCTTCTCCAAATTCTTTCCCGTATTTTACTCATTCTCTTGAAAAAAGAAAGAAAGAACAAAAGGTTCAAAATCATGGTAGTATAGGGTCTCCAATCCCTGGCTGTATTTTCCAACATAGATTCTCCACTCCCTAGTTAATTTTATTTTAGACGTAGGGTCTCCACTCCCTTGTCTCTTTTCCAACATAGGATCTCCACTCCCTAGTTGAAGTTATTCTAGACATAGGGTATTCACTCCCTAGTCTCTTTTCCAACATAGGGTCTCCACTTTCTAGTTGATTTTATTTTTAGACATAGGGTCTCCACTCCCTAGTCTCTTTTCCAACATATGGTCTCTACCCCCTAGTTGATCTTATTATAGACATAGGGTCTCCACTCCCTAGTCGCTTTTCCAACATAGGATCTCCACTCCCTAGATGATTTTATTTTAGACATAGGGTCATCACTCCCTAGTCTTTTTTCCAACATAGGGTCTCCACTGCCAAGTTGTTTTTCCAACATAGGGTCTACACTCCCTGGTCGCTTCATTTTTAGACATAAGGTCTCCACTCCCTAGTCGCTTTTCCAACGTAAGTCTCCACTCCCTAGTTGATTTTGTTTTAGACATATGGTGTCCACTCCCTAGTCGTTTTTCCAACATAGGGTCTCCACTCCCTGGTTGATTTTATTTTAGACATAGGGCCTCCACTCCCTAGTTGCTTTCATTTTAGATATAAGGTCTCTACTTTCTAGTCTTTGTTTTCTTAGGGTACACCAATCCCGACTTTTATTGCTTTCAATAATGACATAGTATAGAGTTTTGTTACAGATAACTCACGAGATTTTTCCTAGTAAAAACTAGGGCAGAAAAATTTTGTTCATTCGTTTGTATTGGTGTCTGAGCAGGTTTTTACATCGAGGCACAGGGTTCGAGATGACCAAAAAGAAGTCTCAATCCAAAATAAAGAAAATAAAGGAAAAGAAGTGAATTCCAAATGCAGAAGCGGAGAAAAGATGTGGACTGCTCAAGACATGACTGAAGTCATGAGCTTTGCATGTCCCGTTCGATTCGAAGAAACCCTAGAAGAATGAACTAGCACCTGCACCTAGTAAGCTTCAAGATTCAGATCAGACGCTGCGTGAAGAACCAGCCAAGACTCAAGATCAAGCTTCAAAAGACTTATGGATAGGAATCTTGTAACTCATAGCTGATAGGTGTAGACATATAATTTTTTACCCTCCCCGAGATTTTACACTTTTTAGCGTTTAAATATTTAGTTTAGGTCTAATATCGCTATTTTAACTAGTTTTGACTCTTTTACTTTATTTTATTTTATAAAAAAATGAAAATTACAAAAAAAAATATATTTTTTCATTTCTATTGAGGTCATTAGTCCTTTTATAATTCTAGTAGGATTTTAAGTTACTTATCTTCGCTTTTATTTTAATATAATCTCTTGAAAATACAAAAAAATAGCTCCGTGTCATAATATAGTTCGAATTAATTAATTAGGAATGATTTCAAAAATTTTATTATATATTATTTTAGAAAAAAAATATTTTTAGCTTTGCAGAGTTAAAGGGCCATTTTAAAGATAAATTAGGCAAAGATTTGGCCCAATTCGAACCCTTAGCCCATAAATCCAAGCCCAATACCCATAAAACCCGAACACTTTAAAGGAGACCCTTCTTCTTCACACTTAACAGAACCCTAGAGAACCTAACACACACAGTCGCACCCCCAAGCAACAAAATGCACACACTCACGCACAAAAGGAGAGTGACGAGCAAATAGGGGATAGGCATCAAATTTATCCAAAAAAGCTCCATTAATCTACACTTGAAGACCACCCAACACACACATTGAAAAAGAACAGCAGCCGCCGCCCTTGGACGTCCCCTCTCTCGTGCCTGCCTCACTCCCCTTGTCGCCGGCCAGCCGCCGGACTTCACAACCGGCGAGTCTGGTCGTCCACCACACCCCCTTCTTGAACCCAGATGTTTCAACCTCTCTTCAACCCCCTAAAAAAACGAGCAAACCACCAAAGAAATCAGCAGCAACCTGCGAAAAAAGAAAGGAAAACGTCGGGCCGGAAATTTGTTTACGATCTGACCGGAAAAATTAATCCGGCGACCACCAACTGGCGTCCCTCCCTACTGCCACCTTCAAAACCAGTCTTAGACCACCGAAAAACCACCCTGAACCAATGTAAATCAGCTAGTCGAGCTGGGTCTGTTCGAGGTTGCGATTCCGGTTGGAGTTTTCGGGTCCATAGCTCGTAGAGGATCACTGTTTTGCGGATTGTCCCGTCCTTTGTAATGCTTGAAATTTTAAGCAATAGAGGTCCATTTCTATCCCATTTTACTTCATTTGAACTTTCAGATTTTAATTTTTACTGCTCTAGAATTTTTATAATATATTTGGTATTGGTTTGTTGTTGGATACCATGCTTTATTTTTTTATGTCTCTTCCTATTTGTTGATCAATCATTTGGATTCATATTCTTGAATATTCTAGAGTTGTGTTTCATGTGTTGATTAGAGTTGATTATTCCTAGTTCTTAAGGACTTTACGTTGGGTTGAAATAATAGAACGATGGTGTGAATATTTATTTTAATGTGTAATTCGCTAGCCAAGGTTTTTGTAGTTAATCACTCTATAGTTTACCAAATCGTGCTTCTCTGCCAATGGTTTCTTATCCATGATCTTTAATCTTTCACCGTAATCCCAAACTTAGGAAAATAATTACATACAATAGCATGCTTTAGGTGTGAGTTAATCTATCATCGTGATTGTGTACACGTTCGCATGACATAATTATGATTTTTAAAATAAATCGAGGTATGCGTTCGCGCAACCTCGGCCAAACATTCTTAACAATAATAAAGCGTGATTAATTGTGTACACGTATGCGTGACATGATTCTTGACGCGCCAAACAAAATGAGTACACGTACGCATGACTCGTTTCAGGTTAATTTCTTAATTAAAAGCGGTAAAAAGGTAAATGCACATAGGTTCTAAAATACGTAATTAAACAAATTGATTAAGCCAGGTATGATTAAAGCGACCGTGTTAAAACCACGGAACCAAGGAATACCTAACACCTTCTCCCAGGTTAACAGAATTTCTTACCCGATCTTCTGGTTTTGCAGACTTTTGAACAGAGTCAAACTTCCTCGATTTGGGATTTAAAATAAACCGGTGACTTGGGACACCATAAATTATCCCAAGTGGCGACTCTGAAATTGAATAAATAATCCCATTTCGATTATTGTCAGTTTAATTGGAAAAACTCCCTTATGCCCCCTCGGGAAAAAGGAGGTGTGACAGCTCTGGCGACTTTGTTGGGGAGAAGAACCCAGAATATCTGGTTCAGGGTTCAAGAATTCGAGCTTGTTAATGTGATTTTTACTTGGCTTTATTTATTATTGATATTACTGTATTTTGTGGACCTAATGTGCTAATTGCCGTCTATTTAGCGCTTTGATATTATTTGAACTGTATTAAAATGTCTTCTTACGCCTCACTTCTGAGTCTTCTAAAAATATTGTGCACACGTACGCGTGGCCTACTTTTCTGTTAGAAGTCATACCAAATAGAACGAGGTTTGGGTCAGCAACAAGGCCGGGTAGACTTTCGTGCTCCCGGTACGTTGCCCCTACCTCGGCTCGAGCTGTCCGCTCGGGTAAGCCAGGTCTAGAACACAACCTCAGGTTTACCTAGAATAACATAGCCTTATGCCGGAACCCTAGTTGGAACGTTTGTTTGCATCACGTGCATTTGACTTAGGGGACTCAACACAGGGGTTGGGTCCGTCTAGGACAGGTGTAGCCAAAATTAAAAGACCATCCTGATGCATCTTATGTGCTACATGTTGCATTTGCCAAGGGTAAAAAGGGTTATTTGGCGGACAATGATGGTTGAGGGTAAATGAGAAAGAAAAGAAGGCAAAGTGTAAAAATGAAGCAAGTAGGGCCCAGTTATATTTTTTCTTTCGCAATTTTATTCAAGAAAAAGACAAAAGATAATGAAAATGAAAAATCCAAAAAGATTTTGCACATTCCCATCATTTTTCAAAAAAAAAGGGACAAAAAATATGTTTTCTCCAATTCAGTTGTTTCGTTTTATTTCTCGCCTGTATCCAATCTTTCCGAACTACGCGTACCTGATTCTCGTCTTTCGGGGCGTGATACGTAGGCAGCCCACATAGGGTCCGGTCTTCCTAGTGAGTCTTAGGTTCTTGGCTTCGCGGGGTCTTAGCCAAATCTTGCATGTCTAGCCACTTTTGGCCACATCGGCCATTCTTGCAAAAATGGGGTCATTTGTGCAAAAGTGGTTCAATGACCCATGTCTTAGAATCTTGAGTCCACAACTAGGTATCATATTACTTTAAGGTCCGTCCTTTTTTGAGTTTGCATCTTTAGCCACTTCTGGCCACATCGGCCATTCTTGCAAAATGGGTCATTTTTTGCAAATTAATTTTGGGCCATGATTATTGGGAGTTTGAATCCACATAAGCTTTAGTGAGGTATTTCCATGTCTATGAGGTCACCTTTGATGAGTTTGCGCTAATAAGCCACGTAGGTTAATTTTAAAAAGATAGCCACAATCATGTCTTGCATGTGTCCAATAGGGAGTGTTATTGTCTCACATAGTATTCTAAGTCTTTAACTCTATTTGGTCTTATTTTTCTCATACAGGTGTGGATCTACTTACCAGAGCTTGAGCATGATAGACGCCCCAGGACCATCCAGTCAGGATCACTGCATTCAGGAGCTGCTTAAGGAGATTTTTTTAATGTTTTGAGTTTGTTTTTTTATGTTGTCTTGTACTTTATAGTCGTGTCCAGTAGTACTGATTCTTTTAGTTGGTGTCAGAGTTTGTCGCAATATAGTTGAATTTGTCGAGTCTCTCATTATCGTACTTCCTATGATGCATTTGAAAACCAAAAAATTTATAAATAAAAATCCAAAAGATTTTGTTTTTAGTTTATTACATTTTCAAAACTACGCTTGATCTGATTCATGAGGGACATGATACGTAGGCAACCTACATAGGGTTCGATCGAATCATCATTAAATAAAAAGGCAAAAAAAACCAACAAAAAAGAAAAAAGAAAAAAAGAGGATGAAATTGTGGGATGTGAGAAATGAGAGAAAAGAAAAGAGCGATAATCAGAAAGAAAAGAGGGGGAAGGAAATGAAAAACCAAACGGTGTTAGAAAGGAAAATAAAGAAGGAAACAAGGCAACAAGAGTGAAATTGGGTTGATGCCACATGACCTTCGTACCCTCGAAGTCATTTTAGAACCGATAACTGTGACTAGGTGCATTGCACATAATGTGAGATTATCTTATGTTAAATGCCCTAACGCTAACGTGATGACTTCACTTTGTTCCTCTTTATTATCTTCATTATAACAGAAGAGTGGTTGGTTTGTGGTTCTTAAAGTGGTAACTCTTCTCTACAACATAAAGTCGAACGGCAATGGCAGATGATAACAAAATTGAGTTGGTTGATACTGGTTCCCGAAAGCAATTGGTTGAATAGGAAAATGGGTTGGTTGAAGAGGTAAGGATGTTAAGACAATAAATGGCACACATGTATCGGGATTGGATGACTGGGAAGGCACCACCCCCGCCACCACCTAGCATCCTAGATGCTACCCTTACCCAAACTCCGGTCATAGTGCCAGATGATCCACCATACTCTCCAGATTCTCCCGCTTATCACAGCTTTCCCAACCACCCTAGTAGCTCCATCACTCGTCCTCCAACTACCTTTCCCAAAAATTGCCCTCCAGTCATATCCACTATCCCCACTATCACAACTTCTCAACAATCTTTCCTTCACAGATCCAACCATGAATACCCACTCAAATCTCACGATGCCCAATATTACCCCTCAGAGGATGCCCACAAGGTCCCTGACTCATACAATCATAGCTTTCGGGATGAGCCTCATGTTGAAAATGAAAAGTTCACAAGAAAGGAAGGGCGAGATGAGATATCCAGGAAGCTGAAAGGTATAGAACAGTCCTTAAAGAGCATGCAAGGGATGAGAAATCAGATTATTACGTCTTACAATGACTTGTGTATGTTCCCTGATGTTAATATGCCCGCGGGGTTTAAAATGCCAAAGTTTAACTTGTATGACGGGCGTGGGATCCAGTAGCCCATCTGAGGGGTTATTGCAGTGAAATGAGAAGTGTTGGCAGGAAAGGTGACTTGTTGATGGCGTATTTCAGTGAGAGCTTGACTGGGGCAGCCTTGGAATGGTATACTCGTCAAGATGTCAATAAGTGGCATGCGTGGGATGACATGGCTCAAGATTTTGTTCGACACTTTCAGTACAATCTAGACATTATCCCAGACCGCTCCTCTATATCTAAGATGGAAAAGAACCCGAGGAAAGTTTTAGGGAGTTTGGGCTCAGATGGAGGGAACAAGCTGCTCGGGACAGTCCCCCGATTGGTGAAGAAGAAATGGTTGAGCGTTTCCTACAAGCCCAGGGAACGACCTACTTCAGTCATTTGATCCCAGCTTTAGGTAAGCCTTTCAATGATGTGGTGAAAATGGCGGAGATGGTAGAAGAGGGAATCAAGTCAGGCAAAATCATGAGTTATTCTGCATTGAAAGATACTACAGAAGACATTCAGAACATCTCAGTAAGTTTGGGGGGAAGAAAGAGAAATAGAAAAGATGTTGTTGAGCCCCGCCAACGACAAGATCCAGTGGGCGTTCCTGCTCAACGCTTTCAGCCTCGAGATCGACCCCATGAATATCCTCATACTCCATATAATCCTCCCCACTTCTACTTCTCTCCACAGAACCCCCAAAGTCATACCCCACTTCCCCAGTGCTCTACCCAAAATTCACCGCCATATGCTCCACACCCACAAGACCCGCAATGGCCTGCACCGCCTCCACAAATGTCCTACCCGCCCCCTCAAGCATATCAACCACCTACCCGCAAAAGGTTGCAACCGAGGCCAGAGTACAAAATGAAAAGGCAACAGCGAAAGGAAAAGACTTTCACTCCCATTGGAGAATCATATGCTAGTTTATTCCAAAGGTTGAGGCAATTGGACATGTTGAAGTCGATTCAGATAAAAATGCCGAACCCTCTTCCAAAGAATTTTGATTATTCTCAAAGGTGAGCATATTGCTCTAATGCCCCGGTCATAGCATAGAAAAGTGTTGGCATCTGAAAAGAGCAGTTCAGAAGCTTATCGATGCAAGTGACATTGTCGTGCAAAATCCAGATGCAGTAGACACTAGCCAAAGTCCATTGCCTGTTCATAATGAGACGCATATGGTGGGTATGATATGTGTTGAAAAAGAACATGAGAACTCTTCTGATATCCTCGGAGGGCCACTTGCTGCAAAGCTTTCAGCGCTATCAGTCTCGGTCCCGGAAGTTGATCTTAAGAACGAGCTGGAAAAAGGGAGCCAAACGCAATTTGCTAAGGTCAATGTGATGGAGACTGTGAGCACGTGATTTTTGCCACGCTTAAATTACTCCTATAGATTCTTTAGAATTAGGATTTTTCTTTATTATTTGAATTTTTAGGAATTAATTGCATGATTTTGTGCCTTGTTTGCCTTTTTTGTGTTCATTTTTAGTTGCCATAATTCATAAAAAAGGCTACAAAAATAGTGCATTCGCATTTAGAATTCGATATTTATATTCATAAGAGAAAAATAACAAAAATAAATCTTTTACATCTTTGTTCCGTTAATTTCACTATTTGTTTGATTTTCATTCTAAAATTAGGATCTAATTAATTTAAGAAATTTAATTAGTCTCATTTAGAATTAAATCAGGTTTTGGTTATTTTTAATTTTACATTTTTGTAAAATCTGAATTTTAAATAAATAAAAGGAAAAGAGAAGAAGAAAATAAATAGAAAATGAAATAAAAAAGCATGGGTTGGCAAATGTTTGGGCCAATTTCGTGCAGCCCAAACCAAAAATCACCAAAAACCCTTCACAACTCGGACCAAAACCAGCCCAAATCCATACCTTTACCCGGTCCAGCCCCCCCTTCAGCAAAACGACGTCGTATTGGCTACAGTTCATCTCATCCATCTATCCCCCGTGATGGGACGGTCCATATTCATTCAAGAAATTACATAAAATTGTAATAACCTCCTTACAACTCAACGACCAAACCCCCCTTCCTCGTACAACCCCTACCCCTCCGTAACGANAAACCCCCCTTCCTCGTACCAACCCCCTCCCTGTAACGCCGGCCTTCCCCCACCATAACTCCGCCGCCCTCCGCCCTAACACAGCCGGCCGGAAATCGCCGCCGGCGGCGGCGATGCTCCTTTTCCGTCCAAAAATAAACCGTAGACTCGTCTTCCCCTCCTCTTTCCAACCCCCAAAGTAATTTTCTTCGAATCACTACCAATCGTCTCAAATATTGGATCGAAATTTTGGCCAAAACATAAAGTTGTCCAAACGACCCCAAATTCACACCCTAGTGTCTCCCCACTCTCCACACCCCTAATCCACAATCAAAATCCTTCGAACATGCCTTGAATCCGTCGAATTTGAGTTTGAAGCCAAGAACCCTAGCCGCCGCCTTAGGTCTCTGGTGGCGGCGCCACCTTAAATCAACCCCAAATTCATATCCTACACTCCCCTGGCTCCCCTCATCCCTAATCATAACCAAAAATCCTTTCAAATCCCGCAGAACTTCGCCAAATTGCGGGCATCTAAGGGTTCATGCGGTTCGAGCTTGGGTTTGGGGATTCTTAAGGACGAATGAGTTCTAGTTAATATTATAGGCCTATTTTGACGAAATTAGACATATAATATTAACTGGAACTCAGTTTCGAAAGGCATTCTTATCAAGATGAAATCACTGAGTTTTCAACTTTTTTTTTTTTTTGTTCTTGTTTGCTTCGCTTTAACCTGAATTTCAGTAAATTGTTTGATGTTAGTTAATTTTGATTTTTGATTCTGTTTTTGGTTGTTAAATTTCAGTAACTTTGATGTTAGTATAGTTAATCCTGTTTCATCTAACTTTAATTATTAAAATTGTTCTGAGTGGCAAGTAATTTGGATATTTTGTTTTGATGGATTCGAATTGTAGTGTAGATAGATTTTATTTTAAGTTTAGTTAGGTGTTTGGCAATTCTGATAAGTAGGATAGTATGCAGGAGTATTAACTTTGCAATTTTGATTTTGTTCCTGTTAATTTTTAGGTTTTCAAGTCTGTTTGAGCAATGTTTAATTTTGATCGATTGAATTAACATTTTGTTAGTTTAATTAGCTTAATTTTTTGATTGTTCTTCAATTCAGTATTCATTTTTTCAATCCAATTAGGTTTAGGGTTTGGATATAGCTGATTTAGATTCATTATGATTAACCATGGCTAAATTTTAACTAGGAAAAAGGGGTTTGGGTTTGGTTAGTAATTCAGGGGGTCTTCAGGGTATTTTGGGCATTGAAAATGGCCCAGTTTGTTAAGACATTAGTAATTTTAGAACTCAAAGCAAGGGTAGTTTAGGTTTTTCATAGCTAAAAGAATACCCTAGGGCCTTCTATAAGGGGGCCTTAGTGTAAGTTTCTGCATTTTAATGCAGTAGCTTGGGTAACAAGTCACAAAATTAGGGTCTAATAGCCAATTCCTGAAAATAAAAAGGGGGAAAATGAGTAAAATTTTCTAGAACATTCTGCCCCCTTCCTTGCCTATAGAAGCAGGCCTAGTGCCTTGATTTACAAGTTTACACTCTCTGAAAAATTCAAGAGTTTACATCTCTGAAATTCCAAAAAACCCTTCCAGCATAGAATTCCCCAAAAATCCATTCTCTGCAAGTCTGAATCTCAAATTTGAATTTCAAAATCCCAAGAGGTCTAATTGAAGTTCTATAGTTCTGAAGCTTTATTTTAGATCTTAAATTTTGCATAAAAACCAAAAAAAAAACAGAAAACTTTCAAAAATCCCAGAAAAAACCTGTTCCGTTG